GGCCTCCAACCTAATAGCGATGGCCTCCACCTAGTAGCTTCTTGCTACAAGTAGCTTCGTCTTGCCCAATCCCCCAATCCTCCCATCCGAGCTGCCGGGCCAGTGCTTGTGGTCTCCACTCACGCGGCTCGCGCGTCAACACACGACGCCACTGCAGCCCGGCCTCGCGCGCACGTCGCGGCTGTCATGGAAGCGACCTTGGGGGGAACAGCCTGTTCCAAGGATCGGTACTGCCTGTTCCAAGGGTTCCAAAGGTGACCTCGGTGACAGAGCTCCTGGTGAGTCCGTGCCACGGGCTTTTCATGGAAAGTTGGCCCCAAAAAGTCGCCCAAAGATCACCGACGGTGAGAACTGCAAGCTGTCCGCGTCCTGTGGCGGCCGTCCTTTGCAGTCCTCGCAGTCCTCTTTTAAATAAGGAAGATGTGGCGGCCGTCCGTCGCAGTCTGCTCTTGCCAAGAGAGAGAACCTTCGGACCCCGACCGGAACCTCCGGACCCGGTGGAGGAACGTCTGGTGAATACGGATGGAACGACCAGACCGGGGCGGTCCAGCGCGGGCGTCTGTCTCCGACTCTCGGAGCAGTGGCATGACCAACGGTCGACGTTTCGAAAAAGAGCGGGACGTCCCAGAAACCGCACGGCGCAGCAGTGGAGCAGTGGAATGACCAAAGCTGAAACAAAAGGTTCGAAGCGGACCTTGGCCTTGACCCCAACTGACCACTCCCGGCGCAAGGCCAGCTCGCTTCCTCGCGTTCTCGGCTACCACACAGGTCTCACCACAGAACACACCACGCGGGGCCTAGAGGCTCTACACCATCAGCTCGACACCACGCCTTCACCATCAGTTCTTCGGCACCCGACGACAGCACCTGAGCTCCACGTTCTTCCGGGTCGATGTGTGTGGGGCCCCCCCAATGGACTCATCACGAGTCGGACCAGAAAAAACACGGGGGGTTCTCTAGAGGAAATTCGAGTGGAAAACCACTGGTTCTAGAGGAAAACAAACCAAAAAGAAACGGGAAACAATACGAGGAAGCCATTCTCATCCGAGTTTTCGGGGGTCTAGTTACTTCCCTCCAATGGAAACTCCGGACCTGGCGCTGGTTGGTCGGGTCCGGGCCCGGCAGCAAGGCACCACCGTTCCAATCGATGGGCAGCATGGGGGTGTTCGAGGGAAACAGCAGCTTACCCAAGGTCTTATTCAATTCAGGTGGTTTTCAACTGGACCAACCCCTTCGTCGCGACCACCTGTGGCCGCGAACACGCTCCCCAAGTTCTGAACCCCCCCACATCCTTCGCCCCTCCAGGAAAAAAGAGAAGAAAAGAGAAGAAACGCTTCCCAATCAAGGGGACTCTCGCGACAACCTCATGTGGAGTCCATGTCCATGGTCTCCACACCACCC